AATCCCTAAACCCTCATCCCTAAACCCTAAACCCTAAACCATAATCCCTAAACCCTCATCCCTAAACCCTAAACCCTAATCCCTAAACCTATATGATCCCCTACATATATAACCCCCTTTAGCATCTAAGATCAAGGCAGCCTCATCATCATCACTGCTGTCTGAGCCGGAGTCGGAGGAGCCATCTGCCTGACCGCGGGCATAGAGGCTTTAGGGGGCATAGAGGCTTTAGGGTTTTAGGGTTTTTGGGGTTTAGGGTTTTAGGGTTTTTGGGGTTTAGGGATTAGGGTTTAGGGTTTAGGGATGGTAGAGACAGTGAAGAGGGGTTATAGGTATTCTAAAGCGCGGCCCAGCTTATTGGGCAAGCTTACCTCAAACCCTAAACTCTATACAACTTGTACCTCGGTACACTCGCAAATATACAGAAGTATATATGTATATATATATATATGTACACACACACATGCACTTCTCGACGCAAGCTCCGCGCAAAACAAGCAAACAAGGAAAACTAAGTATGAGAACGCCACTGCTCTCACCCGCGGGAAACAAAGGCGCCTCTGCAATAGGGCCTGTGGCAGCCTGCGCGTCACAGGCGACTGTGGAACTTCACAACATGTGGTGTTATTATTGTTAATATCAGTATGATTCTTCTTGTTATTCTTTCTTTTGTTGTTGTTGTTGTTGCTGCTGCTTTTGCCATTGTTGTTGCTGCTGATGCTGCCGCCGCTGCCACTGTCGCTTGCTTTCGCCGTCGTCGTCGGCATCGTCATCGTCGTCATCGTCATTCTCGTCGTCGCCGTCGCTGTTGTTCGTGTTGTTCTTGTTGTTCTTGATGCTGGTTGCTCTTGCTGTTGCCGTTGTCGATCTGGTTGTGGTTGTGATTGTTGTTGTTGTTGCTGCTGCTGTTGTTGTTGTTGCTGCTGTTGTTCTTATTATTGTTGTTGTGGTTGCTGTTGCTGTTGCTGTTGCTGTTGCTGTTGCTGCTGCTGCTGATGCTGATGCCGTCGTTGTTGTTGTCGTTGTTGTGGTGGTGGTTGTTGTTGTGGTGGTGGTGGTGGTGGTGGTGGTGGTGGTGGTTGTGGTTGTGGTTGTGGTTGTGGCTGTGGCTGTGGCTGTGGTTGTGGTTGTTGTTGTTGTTGTTGGTTTTGTTGTTGTTGTTGCTGTTGTTGTTGTGGTGGTCAGTTCTCAATTCTCTGTTTCAGGAGGCGGACATCCAGACCTTCTGGCACATGCCTCAGGGCCTTTCGAGCAGACGTTATTTTGAATCTCAGTTATCTAGCCGTTTCTTCCTGACTTCCTGATGCCAGGTCCCCCAACTTCTTCCTCTCTTCGGGGCTTTCTGTCCTGCAAGCTTAGTGCTCAATCAGTGGTGGAGTTGCTCCCTGCTATCATTGGGTTTCTCCTAGCCGGATTGAATCAGAAATGATGATGAATTTCTCCACAATCCTCTCGACACTATTTCTGAGCAGCAT